CCCTTTGTTTCGGCAAGAAAGAATTGTGAGTCACAAGGCAGCTGACACTCAGAGATTCTAGCTTGCACGTTGAGTACCAAACAAATGACGAGTACTGAGACAAAATTTTCATATCAAAATGCATCAAGCACCCAATTTGATGAGTTTTAAAGCAATTGTGTACTGAGATATGACTGTATTTATCCATGGTTTGTTTTTGATATTGCTTGTGGGATAACTCATAATGACTGGGTTATTCTGTGTGATACAATGCCTATGTTTCTTTGTTTGCCCATTCATTTGACTTGTGATGTCTTTACAATCAATGAAAAACAATGAAAATTTAAAACAAAAATAAAACATTGCTCTCAGGCTAACTCAGAACATGCAACCAGCAGTGCCAAGATAGGCTCACCCAATAGCTTGGTCTAATTGCAGGAATTCACCCAACATCAGAGCCATCACCTTAGAAATCTCATTATGACTTAGCACAATGTGTGAATTCAGTCAATACAAATTCTGCAAGAAAGCTCAGAATTATATTATGATTTAGATAACCATGCCAGGTCACCAAGCACTAAGAAATTGATACTTAGGAATACATAATAGAGATACAGTATACTGCACAAAAGGATTATTTCTAGTTTTTGTGGCAATATGCATTTGTAAAGCTATCACTTACAAATTAATGTAATCTTTTTAATGATCTCATATTAATAGCCACATAAAATTGTCCAACAATGAATTTCATGAGGCACTTAAGTGTTGTGCAATGAGCTATTTACTTTTATATCCTAAAGATACTGCCAATCATTTTATAGGATGAACTCAGGGTATTAATGTTTTGACTTGAAACCTGAGTAGCGGTTTCCTTGAGTAACATCATCTCAGTGCATCTTGCTGCACTCATATCAGGACTGGAAACTAGTTTTTGAATTACACAGGCTGTTGATCATGCTCTTTTGAGCTAATGATTGATGCTTCAAATATTTGGGGGCATCAGATTGTCTCCTGCCTCTGATAATGCAAAACGTAGAGAAAAATGGAGCGTTCCTTAAAAGAAAGTTACTAATGTGGTGGTGAATTCCTTGGACAGTGAATTTTAATGAGCAGGATGCTGAACGCGGCTTCTGTAATCAATTTGATGGAGCCATTCCCCACCCCCTTGTTGCAGGTAGCTGGAACTATAATTAGATTTTAAGATAATTAGATTTCCTCTTTCAACAGTCATTTACAAAGAAAGAAGGAAATTGAGTTTTCTTCAGCTTTAGCAACCCTAGAAGTGTGTGAATAAAATGAAAGCTTTTTGAGACTTCTGTGTAACTAGCAAAATGTATTCTACTTTGAGAAAGTAATTTTTGCTAACATCCACAAGTATTGTGCTCAACTAACTAGAAAAGGAAATCAGGGCAGTCTATGGTTACTAGTTTAGGGGAATTTTTTTGCTAAAAATTAAAAAAAAGGATAAGCATTCATTGAAAAATGCATATTCAATACATAATTCAGAAACAGTGTTAGATATTCATACTGTAAGTCACAACCAGTGGTGGGTTGCCCCCGGTTTGCACCAGTTCTATAGAACCGGTAGTAAAACTGGTGGGAGGCTCCATCCACCGACCCCGATATCATCAGAACGCTTCTGCGCATGCGCAGAAGAGAGCATGCGTGCAAGCGAAGCAAGCGTGCACGCGTGACCCTGTTGTGAACCGGTAGTAAAGGTAAGTAGAACCCACCCCTGGTCACAACATATGAAACCATCTACACCCTTGAATTCAGAAGTTCATGTGTAAATAAGCACACTCAATAGATTAATGCATTTCTCTTTACGAGATGTCAGTTCAGCAGTCATTTTTCACCAATTTTGCTGCATATGACTTCTTCATAGCAGCTCTTCATAGTCAGATCAACCTGAGAGGTGGCACTGGCTACCGTGGGATTTATTTATTTTTTATGTCTTTTGGCCGCACCAAGAATTAGGAGGTGTGAATCCAACTATTACAAACTGTTGGAGACTGTCCATCTTTCTAGCAACCTTCATTTGCTGCTCGCAGAGGTAAGAGACCATCCAGATGTAATGAAGCAGAACAGTTGATACACAAGCCACCAGGAAGAAGACAGTATTGTAGCTGGTTCAACTTAAACAGAAGAGAGAAAAGGATAGTAAGGCAGAGCCTTCACTGTGTGGCTTCAATAAACAGCACATCGCAAAATTCCTTCCCCGATGAGCGGTGGAGTTAGCTAATAATGGGAAGCAGTGACTAAATAAATGGCCAATATTTTCGGATGGTTTTCAAAATAGGCAGCCTAGCAGGAGGGAAGCTGCTTTTTAGATGCCTAATTCATGTCATCTTTATAATCCTTGCTATAGTTTTAGCAGCCCTGGAAGATGAATCACCCACTTTAACCAACACACAGATCAACATGGGGTTTATTAGAACCAAGCTATCATTTAACAATGTCAGCAGAGTATTTATTATTAAGCAGAATGCTCCACAGTTTAAATGGAAAGTCATTATTTCTCCACAGTCATTGAACAACGTATGTGTTTATGCAGCCAAGCAGTCAAGATGGTGCCGGAGGAACACAAATCCTGAATCTCTTTTTTGTTGGACTTCGTGAGCTTTTATTGCAAATTCTATCCTAGGCAAATAAAAATTCCTCATTATATTGTTTTAAACCCTACCATTAGGCCCAACAGTGAGCAAAACTTTGGTTCCTTTCAAATTATTTCATTTTAAAGGCACTAGTAATTACAGTATCTAATCCATAAAGCAGACTTTCTATCTACAAGGCAAAATTTATATATCTGATGTTGCAAAATAAGTTGCTCATTATTTTCGGGGGAAAAACCATGAAGCAGCAAAACAGAGAGTATCAGCTGCTAGATGCAAGGCAAGCAATCCATGGCTCAAAGGATTGCTGGAACACACGATTTATAAAGTTCCAAAGTTTCAGCCAGTCAACTAACTGCATTTTTATTTAATGAGGCAAATTTCTAAAATCAGAATTTAAATGACCTGAGCTATGTTTGCAGTGAATTAGAGTGAATTAGGTTGTCTTTAAAAAATAATGGCTGCTTTGAATAGGGGAAGATCCAATTCTCACCCATCTGTCTGGAACCCACACTGCATATCGGACATTAATATAATTGAACGTGTCCAGAAATATTTCACAAGAAGAGTCCTCCACTCCTCTGCTCATAACAAAATACCTTATGCCACCACTTGAAATTCTTGGCTTAGAAAACTTAGAACTACACCACCTTCGGTATGACCTAAGCGTAGCTCATAAAATTATCTGATACAATGTCCTACCTGTGAATGACTACTTCAGCTTCAACCACAACAATACACGAGCACACAATAGATACAAGCTTAAGGCCAAAGAGGCTGTAGGAAAAAAAAAGCTTTTAAAAGCCTCTGGCGATCCCAGCTGAGTTGCCTGATCGTCAGAGTCTTCTAAAAGCATTTTTTTCTGCAACCTCTTAAGGTTGAAGAAAAAATGTTTTTAAAAGCAAAAAAAAAAAAAAAAAAGTTGGCCACGCCCACCAACTCACATTACCCCCCCCAAGCCATGCCCACAAAATAAGGCATGCCCACAGAACCGGTAGTAAAAAAATTTAGAACCCACCCCTGCTACCATCCCTGTCCTAATGTTTCCTCTATTTGTATCTATTTTATATATCCAATCCATGCTTATACTTATTACCTAATATGTTCTTGACAAAATAAACAAACAAACAAACAAACAACCTTCTGTTAAGAAGGTGATAGCTACTCTATGAAGTCAACAACATCCTTCTGCACTAAATCACATTGGAAATCTAGTGTGACACGAAATAATGGATTTGGGGGGCATGGCTTACCATTGGATCCCAATCTTTAGGATATATAGTTGAAGGTGGTAGGGAACATGGCCAGTATGTGGGGAGTAGTCATAGTCATAGAATTGTTGCAACGAATGGCACTTTACTTAGCATGGAGAAGACAATGTGACACATCAATAACATCTACCTGTTATTGATGACAGCATTACTGATCATCTATACCACTAGAATAGATTGTTCCCAGTCCTTATATGAGTACCGCAAGAGGCATTGATAGTTACTATCAGGGCAGTTACTCAAGGAAAACTCTGCTCAGCTTTCAAGTCAAAACATCAGTAGCCTGAGCTCATCCTATAAAATGATTGGCAGCTTTGTTAGCATATAAAAGTAAATAGCTCATCACACAACACTTAAATATCCTATGAAATTCATTGTAGGAAGATTTTATGTAGCTAAGGAACATTATGATCAACCATCACTTCCACCTGGGTACGCTAGCAAGATGCTTGGTGAGTCCCTGAAATATGACTGGCTGGTTTGTAAACATTTGAAAGTGGATCTGGGAAACTAAGGACAGACAACATAGCAACAGCAAGGATATTTCCTCCTCCCCCTCCTCCCCCTCCTTCTCTCCCTCCTCCCCCTCCTCCTCTCCCCTCCTCCTGTTATAATATGTCATTCAGGACTATTTGCCAAAGGAATTCAACATTTAAGTTTCAATGGAATGAAATATGTTATGGTGCATGGAACTTTTTTTGAGCTATGCAAGAAAGGAATCTACCTCATCTTTAAAGGAAAAATATGGTTATTCTTTTCCAAATATTATGTAAATGGCATGATGTATATTTGTTTAGAGGTCAAAAATGGGGAACTCATGGCCTCTGAGCCAGATGCTGTTCACAAGGTCTTTTCATCCAATCTTTTGAGACCCAGTTTGAGATTGTACCCCTGTGGAGAATGGAGCAAATTCTCTGAGACTGGCTATGTGTTTCTTTCTACAGGGAGGCCTGGTGCAATGCAGAAAGGAGATTACATCCTGACTGGTCATGTTGTTAACACTGAACATTAATGGGGTAGAGCTTTCATGTGGAGACAATATTGACAATAAGCACCATCTACTTCCAGGATATAATCTAGTTTTCCTGCTGGAAATCATTATGCCTGATACTCCTAATCTTGCTTTAAACTCCCTGGGTGCAAGCTGTTCAACACATATTTATTTCTGCCCAACACACAGATTCCCGGACAAATTAAACGGCCAAATGGACATTTCATTTGATAATCAGCTTCTGTATAAAGATGACTGGTTCTTGTTTTGGAACTTCAATCCCATATGGATCAGCTTGGATTTTCCCTAGGTCAAAGGGCTGTCTTTGGAAGTTTCTTGTAGTCCCTCCTTGGTTTTTTTTAATCACTTGGGAGCATTTGTTTCTTTGATGCCCTCAGACTCTTTTCTTTTTCTGAAGTTCCCATTGCAGCTAGTTTAAAAAAAAAAAGAAAAAAAAGGCTGGTCTGATACTGGCAGATCAAAGGGAAAAAAATGTTGTCTGAACATGATCAACACCTCTTGCGCTGAGAATTTGGAATTGAGCCAGGCATAATCTTTACCTTCATTATATCATTACAGATTAACTGTGGATGTTACTATTCACTTCACTTTCTCAGCAACCATCACTGTCATTACATAACCTTCCAGTTTAACTAAACAATACATTCATGGAGCCAGTTCTCTACAAAGCAATGCCAGTGAATTCCCAGTCAGCTGACACAAAACTCACACTGCAAACACTGATCCACCAAGCAACTTGATGCCACACTATCCACTGCCTTAGAGTTATTTTCCTTTCTCACACAAGGAGCTAAAAAGTGGCCATAGACTGAGTTACCCCATTAATCTACATTCCCCAGTATTGTTGATTCAGGTGGCTCATTTTTTTCCCCAGCATTCTGTCACAGATTTCTCCAGCCTTACCAGAGAGATCTGGAGTCATTTCTATGCAAAGCGTGTATTCTGTCACTGAGCATATTGATTTGGAGAACAGTAAACCATAACACCATGGGAGGAGAATTTGCAATTTGGAAACAATTTCTTGTCCTAATATTGTGGTCTATCTCTTGGGAACTTCTGTGTTTTCTCTACGTAACCTTGAAAATACATAAATGTATTAGGAGGGCAATGGTCAGTAGCCATAAGGCCCAAAAGCCATGTCCTTTGAGATAAGAAAGGAACCATTCCTGTTGAGGAATGTTCATTTGTCGTGTTTTATCCAGGGGGATAAAATCCAAGAAATAGGGAGCAGTTAAACATGCATTGCTAATTATGGATGCTGGAACTAGAAATGAATTTGCACAAAGGAATTTCCTTCAGTTGGAGAATATATTAAGGACTGTTTCTTCCCTAGAAGTGAGGTATAAAAGCAACCGCTTGCCTTCAGAAGTTGTGGGAGCTTCATCACTGGAAGCTTTCAAGAAGAGACTGGACTGCCATTTGTCAGAAATGGTGTAGGATCTCCTGCTTGAGAGGGAGGTTGGACTAGAAGACCTACAAGCTCTCTTACAATTCTGTTAATCTGTTAAACACATAAAGGGCACTTTTACCCAAACTTTGACACCACTCAACACTCTAGCCCACCATTGTGATTCCACCTGCCTTAGGGAGGTAAGTCAATTAATTTCTGACTTGGCTATTGCTTAGAAGGAATGTTCAGAAACAGCAACAAGGCAGAAAGTCCAACTTTATCAAGCTCTTTGGTTGTCCTTCCATCTATCTCTTTTAAGCAATGGCATCAGCCATCCCATCAACACTTCTTGGGGTAAATAAACAGAATGGAGGTTTTAAAAAAGCCAGTTTAGTATAGTGCTTAAAGTGCTGTCCAAAAAACAGGAGACCATGAGTTCTAGTTCTGCCTTAGGCATGAAAAACTGGCTGGGTGGTTTTGAATCACTTATTTTTAGCCAAACTCACACAAGGTTGTTGTTATAAAAAATAATAAAGGCAGGATGTTAAACAAATAACTGAAGGTTGTTGTCACCTGTTCTCCCACAATGAACAACTTCCCCTTGGTGATGAACATAATGTGAAAAACTGACTTGAAACGTGAGATAGGCAAGTGGTAAAGAGTATAAATGAATGAAAGAAAAATAGATATGTTGCATGGTTGCAAATATAAGAAAAAGGGGAAGAATGTACATACATACATACATACATACATACATACATACATACATACATACGGTACATGTAGGAGGCACAGTGCCTAGCAATTAAGATGCTGGGCTTGTTGACTGGAAAGTTGGCTGTTCAAGATTCATGTACCACATGACAGGGTAAGCTCTCATTTCTGCCCCAGCTCCTGCCAACATAGCAATTTGAAAGCATGCAAATGCAAGTAGATAAATAGGTACCCCTTCAATGGGAAGGTAACAGCATTATGTGCATCTCAGTATATAATCATCCCAGCCACATGACCATGGAAGCATATTCAGACAATGCTGGTCCCTCGGTTAGGAAATGGAAATAAGCACTAACCTCTAGACTCAGACATGACCAGGCAGGGAAATCTTTACATCCATCCATCCATCCATCCATCCATCCATCCATCCATCCATCCATCGTTATGTTGTGTTGTGTATTTGTGTTGTGTTTTTGTGTTGTGTTGTTGTATTGTGTTGTTGTGTTGTGTTGTGTTATGTTATGTTAATACAGATATAATTTTAATGTTAATATTTGTCATTTTAATATTTTAATGCTTTATTTTGTTGTTTTGATTATGCTGTAAACCATAATGCCACAGTGCAGGAATAACATTAGGAAGAAAAAGTTACACTGTAAACCACTCAGCATTGCTTGTTACTGAGATGGCGACATATAAATTTAATAAAATAAATTAGATGATATAGATGATATACAGTATATATATATATATATATATATATATATATAGAGCACAGCCAAGCCCCTAACCAATCAGAACACACCTCCACCCAATCAGAACACAGCCAAGTTCCCACCCAATCAGCTCACACCTCCACTAGCAGTTAAAAGGAAGAGACAGCTGCGATCTCACATTGCTCCTGGAAGCACGAAGCCGAGAACACCAGCCTGAAGATGACGAATGAGACTTCGTCGAAACGTCGCCAAGACACTTCCAATTTTACGTGGGAGAAGACCCGAATAACCAAAGACCTACATACAAACACCATTTGTTGTTGGTTTGAGCTCTGAGCTTGGCAATTTGTTTGCAAATGGTTCGTCCCCACTCGAGGAGGCATCTTCAGTGCAATTTGGATTGTGCTTGTCTGGGGGGAGCACTGGTACTTTAAATACCTTTCTGAGTCCTGGTCTGATTTCAGGTTGTGGTATTGGCTGACTATAGTTGCTGAGTCACAGTCCTGGGTTTTAAGTACCATCCGTGTGATGTAAATTAGTGCTGGTGTTGTTGTTCGGATGTGTTCTGATGTTGTCATGGTTTTATTTCGGGTTGATTTGATTGGCTGCATGTGATGTGGTCCAATTTCTTGTGATCTGTTGAGTTATAACTTTGTTTCCAGCTTGGCTGTTTGTTGGTCTTTAAATTTTGCCTTCGGGATCGTGGTTGATGTTATTCTTTCATTCTAAGTGGTTGCTAGATTGGGTCGATGTCATTGTGTCTGTTTATTGATTTATTGATGGAAAACCAGGGTTCCAGGAATTCCCTTTCTCTCGTTGACTTTACCTGGTTACAACTGTGGTCCTGGTTAGTTCGAATTTGTGTCCTTTTGAGAATTCCTATGAATTTAGGAATTCATAGATTGCTGATAGCTGCACACTACATTCATATACTAACAATGGAAACAGAGATATGTTTTGGGGAAAAAATATACACCCTTCTAAATGAATGCACTCAGGATCGGGGTGATTAATTTGTTGGGTGCCATGAATGGATTAGTGGGATTAAGATTAGCTCATTTGGAGAAACAAGAATGAATGAGACTGGTGATTGGTGAGTATTTGTTTAGCAAATGGCTTTTGTTTGGCATACTTGATTAAAGAATTTGTGTATTCATGAGTACACATGGAAAAGAAATGTACTCAAAGGTATGATTGATTTGATTATTTATGATGAAAGAAATGATAAAGATGCAAGTACTGAGGAATTTTAAATGTTGAACAGCTCATTATTTGGCAGTATTCTTGGTGAATCTTAGGAAAAATGAGATGGGGAAAAAAAGGAAAGAATAAAAGAAAAGAAAGCAAAAATAGAATACCCGAAAGATTACAAAGTAGGAATCTTGTATTAAAAGTATTAGAAGATAAATTAATCTCCACACAGAATGAATGGAAGTGGACATAAGGAAAGAGGTTGTGGAAGTTGCTTGGAACAGAATAAAATGAATTCTGCTACCATGTGATAGAAGGGTGTGATGTTATTCTAATAAGATGGATGAAAAAGGATGTTTGATCAAATTATTAAATGAAAAAAAACTTTGCATAAGAAAAATGCATGGCAGAGAATAATTGCTACAAAACAATGAGGATGAGAGAAAAATATTGTATGATACACATGGTAAGAAAAAAATGTTGCAAAGAATATAATCAAAGATATAAAAGAAGGGTTAAAAGAGGTAAAGAAAATACAGACTAATTTTGGAGGAAATTAAACATTACTTTGAAATGGATCAAAAAGGCCAATTAAGGCACATCCAGCAGTGTGAATGGAGTTAAAAATAAAAGTGATAAAATTATCAAGAATGAAAATGTAATGAGGAAGGAGATGTAAATGCTATTGTCCATGGAAAAAAATGGCTGAAAAGTAAGTCATAATTATTTCAATATTGGAAGGTTTTGAAAAACAGTACGGCTGCAAATGTTGGTGGGTTAGCTCTTCTTGTTTAACGTGTTTGTGACAAATGATTCAAAGCATGTCTGTAGCTGTATCACCCTGCAAGGAAAAGAGAACAAGTTTGAATGCCAAGCCCACCCGCGGATGATTTGGTGATGTGTGCCTGAGAAGGCGTTTGGCAGAATCCCCATTGAAAGGCTACAAGAAGTGAAAATGAGCAAAGTCTGGGAAATGTGATGTGGTGGTATGCCAGGCAGAGAATGTGCAAATTAGATATCTGTTCTTTAGCAGGTCATTGAGAAATTAGGAAAGTGAGAAAGAAAGTTTGTTATATGTTTAGTTGGTAGAAGAGAAGTGGGCAGTACTTGGATGGTTGCTAGGGATGAATGTTTTAGCTAAAGTGCCCGTGTGTGCTGTAAAAGCATGCTTCTGCCCATTTGGTTACATAAAAATGAGGGACTGATATGTCAAGAGAAATATAAAGGAGAGTTGAAGTAATGGAAATGGAGTACTTAAGAAATGAGCCTGTGGTAAAGCTAGAACAGATAAGGTCAGGAATAAATGGGTCCTAGTAATACAGAAGCTGAAAGGATCTAATGTCAAAAATAATATTTAAAAGATTCCCAATTGTACTGAAGAAAATATATTTAATGGAGTTAGGTACTATTTTAATTTAATAAATAATAATATGCAGAGTCAGTTCAGAAGAAGTGAAGGCAAGAACAAAAATGAGAGAGGAGAAAATGTTTGAAAAAAAATTCCCCAAAAGGAAAAAAAATGGTTTAAGGGGAACTGTAGAGTGTTCCATAATAGCCTCTGAGTTCCCAGCTGGAGAACTTGGGAAGAAGGGGAAAAAAAGTCAAGAAAGGGACCCAACCACATGCCTTTTCTAAATATCTGTCACCATCCTGACTTCTTTTACCTCAGTGCAGCAGCTTTGCTGGCTGAGGAATTCTGGGAGTTGAAGTCCACAAGTCTTAAAGTTGCCAAGTTTGGAGACCCCTGCCTTAGTGGATATCCTTGGCCTATGAGGAGAAAGTGGAAGCAATAAAAAAAGGGGGGGGAGTGATCCTGCTGCCATCATGATACTAACAGCTGTTTTGCCCATCCTGGCCCAAATGGCAGGGGAAAAGGCCAAGTTTTAATCTCCTTTTGAAAAGCCTGCAAGATCAAGGCCAACTATATATAAGTAGAGTTCATTCCCAAGGGTAGAGCTGCCCCCAACTGGCCACCTGACATACCAGCGAATGTTTTCAAAAAATATTTTTACCTGGAATTGTTATGTTCAAAGTTGCTGTGACCACTTTGCTGTAGCTCAGTCAGAACTCTGCCCCTGTTGCTCCCATCAGACAGGAAACATGGTGTGTATCTAACTGTGGAAGACTATTATCAGGTGGTAACCTTCTTTATATTACTTACTTTTCCCTCTTAAATAAGGATCAACCACCTAGCTTTCTGGAACAGCACTTCAAAATGTTCCAGAAGTGCTATTTTAAAGTAAAAAATAACACCAATCAAATGTTCCTTTCATTTGCAAACATTTTAATTGCAGTTTAGAAATAAACACAATGAAACTGGAAGTCGCTTTATGCCAAGACTTGTTCCACTGCAAATTCTTCTGAGAGTCAGGCTGGTGTAGTAGTTAAGGCACCAGATTAGTATTACCTTAGCCACAAAGTTAGCTGAGTGATCTTGGGCCAAGTCACTTTCTCTCAGTCCTAGGAAAGAACAAAACCACTTCTAAAAAACCTTGCCAAGAAAACTGCAGGATTTTCAAGCAGTTTCTGAGAACTGGACATGACTGAATGGAAGCAAAAACAAAACAAAACAAAAACATATGAATATTGTCAAATGCGTTAGAAGCTTTCTTACACAAACACCCATTTGGAGGCTCGGTTAAGTGTGTATACAAGTTCCTGATCACAATGGCATCATCTCCTTTTGGAGTGATTGGACATTGGACATTGGACCTGGAAATGGAAATGGAAATGGAAAGACTATTTTAGAGTTTTCTAGTATGCTGCAAGTAAGGCTTTGTTCCCGCAAATTTAGTTGAAAGATGGTTATAAAGAAAAGTGGCATTTGTTGAAAAGTTGTCACATTGCGTCACCCATGGTGTCCCTTTTTGCTTCACATTATCAGTTATATAACTGCCATTGTGATGTGACAGTAGTAACCCACTGTATTGATAATTGAGGAACAAACTCCATATTCCAGTTGACACCCTTTCTAATTACATCTCACCTTCATTAGGCCATTAAAGTGATAAATGCAAGCAATTACATTGAACCCCAGTGAAACACTCGGTCTGTGACAAGCACTGACTACAACATGAATTATATGTCCAGGAGCCCTGCAGATCACTGGCGATGCAGGGACAAAAATTCACAAATGAAACAGACGCTCCATTGATGAGATAGTTGATGGCTTTACATTTCACTGCTACAGTCAAACACAGTTATTTTTCTGGACTCATCATTCCACTAGTGCAAAGTCTCAGGGTCTTTTCTTTTTTAATTAACCCTCCCTGAACAGAAAAAGGTTTCTAAGTGTGTCTGGGAGGACTATCTGTCAAATAAGGTCTGCAGTTCAACATCATTCAAAAAAAATATTGCAAATATATGCTCAGTCTCTGAAATGAAAGGCTAACAAACAAGACAAGGGGAGGTAGGTATGCTACTGAGACTGGCTTGAGAGTAATAGTCTGTCAAAACAGGACCTTGAGCCAAAATCATAAACCCCACTCAGTAAAATAGGGTTTCTAATACAGCAAGATGAGCACTTAGTAATTTGAACCAAGAGTAACATGCAAATACATACACATTCCAATCAAAACAACTCCTTGTATCATAAAAAATGTAAATTACCTAAGAACGCCGATGTTTTAGAATGAATATATCACTTGCTTCTTTGTGCAAGCAGCATTGGCTCATTCTTAGCTAGCCATATGTATCTTAATTACTAGGAACACACATGACTACTAGGCTGTAAATGAATATGATTTGTCATTTCCATGCTCAGATATCTTATTTGTGGGGCCGTATTTGGTGTTTCCCATCACCTGTTTCTCAGAAATCCATGTTTGCTTCTTCTGAATCTCCCACAGTATCTTTTTTAAGGTGCTGCCGCTGCATTTGAGAAGCACCTTAATTGACGCTGAAGTTCACGTGGATCTCTCTGAACTGACATTCCATGTTTATCTTTAGTTAAGTTAAGATGATGTAGGTCTGGAAACTGTGCCTTGGTATTAGGAATAACATCAGATCCACATAAAAAAATAACATGTGGCAAAAGAACCTTGAAGTGAAGCAGAGGCACCTTGTTCCTGAAAAGATTATTTCAAGTGGAATTACTTCATTAGGAGGGACTAGACCACATGGTATCTCCTGTATTAACATCATAATGATGGAATGGAGCAGATGCTGAGGGATAGCTGATAGCTCAGCTGAGAATAAATGGGTCCATAGTCTTCACAACAAACACACTATATCAGCTACTAGTCTAATTCACAAAAAATGGACAAATTGAGCTTAAAGACCTTAACTAAGGGCAAGCAGCAGCAGCAAATCAGAAAAGTGCTTCTGCTTCAGTTTGCTCTTATTAAACAACA